CACTGTGGACTAGAGATTGTAGTCCTATGGTATGTATGAGATGGGAATCAGACTGGCCAACACTTACACTGTGTACTAGAGATTGTGGTCCTATGGTATGTATGAGATGAGAATCAGACTGACCAACACTTACACTGTGTACTAGAGATTGTGGTTCTATGGTATGTATGAGATGAGAATCAGACTGGACAACACTTTCACTGTGTACTAGAGATAAACTGTGGTCTTATGGTATGTATGAGATGAGAATCAGACTGGCCAACACTTACACTGTGTACTAGAGATTGTGGTCCTATGGTATGTATGAGATGAGAATCAGACTGGCCAACACTTTCACTGTGTACTAGAGATTGTGGTCTTATGGTATGTATGAGATGAGAATCAGACTGGCCAACACTTACACTGTGTACTAGAGATAAACTGTGGTCTTATGGTATGTATGAGATGAGAATCAGACTGGCCAACACTTACACTGTGTACTAGAGATTGAGGTCCTATGGTGTGTATGAGAAGAGAATCAGACTGGCCAATACTTGCACTGTGTACTAGAAATTGTGGTCCTATGGTATGTATGAGATGAGAATCAGACTGACCAACACTTACACTGTGTACTAGAGATTGTGGTCCTATGGTATGTATGAGATGGAAATCAGACTGGCCAACACTTGCACTGTGTACTAGAGATTGAGGTCCTATGGTGTGTATGAGAAGAGAATCAGACTGGCCAATACTTGCACTGTGTACTAGAAATTGTGGTCCTATGGTATGTATGAGATGAGAATCAGACTGGACAACACTTACACTGTGTACTAGAGATAAACTGTGGTCCTATGGTATGTATGAGATGAGAATCAGACTGGACAACACTTACACTGTGTACTAGAGATAAACTGTGGTCCTATGGTATGTATGAGATGAGAATCAGACTGGCCAACACTTACACTGTGTACTAGAGATAAACTGTGGTCCTATGGTATGTATGAGATGAGAATCAGACTGGACAACACTTACTCTGTGTACTAGAGATAATCTGTGGTCCTATGGTATGTATGAGAAGAGAATCAGACTGGCCAACACTTACACTGTGTACTAGAGATAAACTGTGGTCCTATGGTATGTATGAGATGAGAATCAGACTGGACAACACTTACACTGTGTACTAGAGATAAACTGTGGTCCTATGGTATGTATGAGAAGAGAATCAGACTGGCCAACACTTACACTGTGTACTAGAGATAAACTGTGGTCTTATGGTTACTCAAGTTCAATAATGGCCAATACTTACATGCATGTGTACCATAGTGTCATGATCCAAAGTTTAATAGTCTGGCATTGCAATTCTCATCATATAATACTGTATTGCATATGTTCATGATCTCCATTCCAAAAGTATCAGTGTTTGCAGTTTTAATCCTCAAAATATTTATATTAAATCCATTCTTCTTTTCCTGAATAATCAGTGACCATTCACGTACATTGCTTAAGTCACAGATAATTAAGGTCGAATATAGCATAACACATTCTTCGCCTCTTTGACCGTTTTTAAAAATCAAATCTAGTCACAATCGACTTATACTTGTGTATCTATCGCTTTAAAACCCCAAAATATAGTAAGCTGACCAAAATTTCATCACTGTCCATACCCTCCCCTGGATGCGCATTGTCCTTCCCTTAATATCAAATATATGCAGTCCCATCTAATTGAATTTCCCTTCTCAGTTTCACTTTCAAACCTGGCATTGATACCTCCCTGCAGCAGACAATAAATGTTTTAAAAGCCGGAATGTTAAACAGATAAATGAGCGTGTATCGCTGTATCATTGTTGAACGCCATAATGTCATAATGTCAAAGGGTGTCCTGTGATATGTAATATTGCGTACTTGTGGTTAACATTTCATGGCAGTTATTTTTCAAGCATTAAATCGGATTGCTACACATGTCCATGCAAAAAAACGATTGTTAAGTGAACACTATGCTACGCTGTAAGTGAATAAGATATAAAGGGGTGTAATCATGTTTGTATTGGTAAAACCAGAACATCCAATGGGGTAAGGACTGTGTTATGCAATATGTGATATTGATTATTCTTCATCATTATGTGATGGCCGTGATTGGTCACAGATTCTGAATCAGATCTCAGGCTTACATGGATGGATATCTTTCGTTGTTCTCAATGCTAATTATTTTGTTTTTTAAATGTTTTTTTTTTTAAATGCTGACATGCCTGGACTGATTACATTTAAAACATTGTATATACCGGCACAAATTTTCATTGTTAATATCACAATTCTGCCATTTTACAACTTCATGTTCAATGGATTCACTCACTACCAAAGTCTAGTCTCACAACCCTTTCTTTGATAACTCCCTTCACAACATTGTTTCCTTCCTCAACACAAATAATGCACAATCAATTCCTTAACCTTTTCCCCCATCAGTTTCCTATTCACATAATCCTGTTGTTAGTCCACACTTTGATTCCTTCAGAAGTTTGGGGCAAATTGTTTGAGATAAAACTGCAAATTTGACCCAAATTCTGTCTGTTGACTCCAAAATGAGGGTTAATTTACAGAAATATTGAAAAATATAAGAAAAAAGTGCAGAAAAATTCGGGCGAGAAAATCTGGTGGTGAAAAGGTTAAAGCAATCAATAGGTATTAAATAATTCACGTCTACTTCAGTGAACTGTCATAACTTAGACAGTATGTGGTCGCATCAACCTCCGATGTGTGCCGGTTGATACTCCACCTGAACAGTCTTCGTGCACACTTTGAGGTATTCTCATAATAATCTCATATAATCATACAATTTATTTTACAGCCACATACCAATCTTTACAGTGACCATCCTTTCTATATCGTGATGGAAAACAGTGGTCATTCACATGGTGTCTTTCTTAAGAACAGTAATGCCATGGGTGAGTTTCCATTCCAAACAAATTGAGTAAAATATAAATAATTGCTTTTTATTTCATTTTTCATATCAAGTCTTGCAAAAAAAAATATTGATTCACCAAGAGATCCTGGAGCAGATGCAAAGAGGATAAAATGTAAACATAGAAAAAAAAATCAAAAAAGAGAGCAATTGATAGCACAATTAAATTCAATTTTTTTTAACATCCAAATTAAGATATAAAACTAATAATAAAATAATATATTTATACTGTTTTTTAGATTGTCTGTCGTCTCTCTCAGATTTGTTCAATTTGTAATGATATCTTTAATTCTCTAAATTTGGTGAATATTTTTTTAATTTTTGGTAAAAAGTGATATTTTCGACTTCTTGTTAAAAAACGCAAGTCCAATTACTTTGATATTACATATATAGGTACTACATGTGGACCTCTCTGAGATTTGTTCATTTCGTGATGATATCTTCAATTATCTAATTTTGATGATTGTTTTTGGTGAAAAGTGATATTTTTGAATTCTTGTTGAAAACAGCAAGTCCCATTGCTTTGATACTGTACATATTGTTCATTTTCTAATGTCTTCAGTTCTTTAATTGAAATGTGCATCGCTAACAGCGGAGTTATCTCAGCTGATAGACTGCTTGTTTATATGTGTTATAGACTCCAATTTAGTTCTTTTAATTGACTCCTTGTCCCCTGCAGATATTGTTTTGCAGCCAGCGCCAGCATTAACCTATCGTACTATTGGTGGTATTCTCGACTTCTACATATTCCTGGGACCGACTCCAGATTTAGTGATACAACAGTATACTGAAGTTATTGGACGTCCATTCATGCCGCCCTACTGGAGTCTAGGGTTCCATCTTTGTAAATATGGATATGGAACAGCAGACGCTACCTTCTCGATTGTGGAAAAGATGAGAGAGTTGGCAATCCCTCAAGTATGTTAATATCACTTGTATGAAATAAAAATTTATATGTGTATACTTTACTCAAAAGAACAGATATCAAAATCTCATTTAGTATTTCAAATGTAATTCTTGTTTAACAATTGGATTGTAACTGCATGTACGAACTTGTGTATAGTATTTTAATACCCAAACTTAAGGGGTGGTGGTCGTCGCACTGCGCATGTGCAACATTTCTGTTGATAAACTTTGATTTTCCTTCAATCCAATGTGCTCTTCTAATGGAAATCACGAGTATGAAGTTTGACCTGGGCACGACTTGCACTAATAACTGCTGGTCACTCCTTCTATACCTTCCAATCACTTAAAAATACCCCATTTAAGCTTGCGTAACGTCTCAGTTTGTACTCATTGATCTGCGCAACAGTCAAAGTCGCCATCTTTTTTCTCCATGGGAAGCTGCCTGGTTTGCTTTCAGAGCCCAAGGTTGCTGATCTTATCCGGCCAATGAATTTTTAGGATTGTCCACAGGCATCTGTTTACAAAGGTCTGTACTTTGTGGGTTGTTACCTTTGTGGTACGCCAGGTTTCTGCTCCATATAACAGGACAGACTTTACATTTGTATACACTATACAGAGTATACACTATATTTGTTTGAACTGCCCTCTGGTGTCTAGAAACATCAAGTGGCTATATATTTCTAGAAGAGTTGTACAGCCCACCACTGATAAATTCAAATTTTCTAGGTAGAGTGTAAACGATTTTGGGGCTGTTACATCAAAAATGGTACATCTTAGCACAGTCCTTCTATATATAGAGGAACTGTGATCTGAATTAAGTGGCAACACAATAGACAGGGAGGCGAAAAAAAGATTATAGATTAAACTCGCCCGCAACGCCACAAAAATTTACCATAAGATCAATGGCGGAGCATTTTTTTTATTTGAAACCAAAGTTGTAAGTGATTATCGAACCTCCCATTGAACAAGCCAGGGCTCTGTGCATGGCTGATGTATAACGTATTTTAAAATGTAATTAATGCAAACATTGTTGCATTATAATTGTAATCATCTGTCTTTATTTGTAGGATGTTCAATGGAATGATATTGATAGCATGGATAAATTCAAGGATTTCACGATTGATTTGGATAATTTTGCACTATTGCCAGATATGATTGATAACATTCATAGAAATGGTCAGCATTATGTTATCATGTTGGTGAGTATTTATTTAATATAATCAGCCATTCCATATTGTGTGCTCCAACGGAAGTGATATTTTGTTGAAAGTGATTTGTAACTTGGGTAAGATCAAATCTGATAGGAATTAGACTTATAATGTTGTTATACACTTAGTTATTATCTTCACTACAATCAATCATGTAATGCATTGCTTTGTGTGCAAAACACAACTAATTCACAGTACAGTCGAGGTGTAACTCAATCAACTTCCAAGATGGCTGTCAGCTGGTTTTGCCACTTTTCAAAAAAACTTTCTAAAGGAAGTACAAGGGGGGTGGCGAGAATTACGTACGTTCGCTACACGACACCCCTGTTGACACCTTGAGCAAGGCTTTCATCACCCATTGTATCTCAGTAATTGATGGACAGTACGTGTTAAGTTGTCTCTTTAACGATTTGTTAAAAAACACTATGCAACGAAACATTAGTCTTTGTACTTAAAAACTGCCGTCAAGACACAATAGAAATTTTGGGCGCCATCCCAAGTACCCGCGACTTAGCCGAATCGTGACTTACCAAGGTGCGATTTAGCGAGGGGTCACTGTATCTGCATTGCCATCAATGGTTGCAACTTATTCATTAAAAAGTATTCATTACTAATATGAGATGTATATTTAGACAGATTAGCCTTCATAATTTAGATATGTGACAGTTTTAAAACCAAGCTAAATATTATGCTCAGACCATGCCATGGAAATCATGTAATGTACAAAGAAATTAAAATAAATTCTGAAGATGACAATCTGATGGTTGTATATACATGTAGAAAGCTAATAAAAAATCTGGTTTGCATTGTCAATCAATCTTAATTGGAAATGCTTCACCACACAGATGGTTTTTTTGCTCAGTAATATTTTCAGATATATTTTTTATACTGTAGGATCCTGCCATTAGCAGTTCACAGCCTAAGTTCACATATGCACCATTTGATGACGGCATGGCAATGGACGTGTTCATTAAGAATGCTACCGATCAATTACTTATCGGAAAGGTATAATATAATCTTCTACCTTAGTTTTGTAAATACAGTTCTTTCCAAGGAGTCCAATATTCTCAATTTTGATGTGGCACAAATGAGCTCATCAACACCGTGAATCAGGACTAGTTTAGATTTCCATTATCAAATATAAAATTTTGAACTTGGTAAATTAGCATATGATGAGAGTTATATTTAGAAATCCTACTCTGTATGGTGGCACAATGGAACTCATCAACACCATAAGTAGGAACTATAGTTTTGGATTTCCATTACTGTATGGTGAATGGTGATTTGGAAATAAATTAAGGAGTTCAATATTCTCAATTTTGATGTTAGTCATAAAAATAAATAAATTGCATAATGAAATTCCCAATCTCTGTTTTAAAAAATTTGAAATATTATTATATATTTTCATCTTTGAAAATAAACATTGCATATACCAGTTCGGATGATGTTGATTGAGGGTGTCTTCTATTGGCAGAAAATGGAAGGATGGAATTTTTCACTTATCATGGACCCTGTTTCACTGTGGATGCCATGCATATTGTTCCTAACTTGAACGTTTGTGTTTCTAGGTGTGGCCTGGCAACACAGCTTTCCCCGACTTCACAAATCCTGTGACTCATGAGTGGTGGGCTAAACAGATTAGTAAATTTCACAAACTAATTAAATTTGACGGCATATGGAATGTAAGTAATAATAATGACTGTATTGCATCTACACGGTTCTATATTCAACAAAAAGAATATTAATTATAAAATAAACAAAAAAGATAAGACTTTGTTGCACACTATTCTACTGTCTTAAAATGATGAATTCCTGATAGTGCCCCAAAACGTTGTTATTCACTGTCCATAAGTACGCACTGTAACAAAATGTCATCGTTTTCCCACAAAGTATTAAAGACATAATCACACCAAAATGTAGTTTTTAGCAGAAATAAATTATTCCACTCCACCATCATCAGTTGTAACTTATAACAAATACTGGTACTTTTAACACAGGCTTCATTATTAATATTGGTTGATAAATATTACTGTGAAATACTTTATGTTCGTTTGGAATTAATTTTTGCTATTTTCGCTGAAGTAATGATTAAGTGAAAATAAAATCCAGCGAAAATACCTTTTTTTTCTATATTCTACATTCAACTTTTAAAAAATCACTGAGAATAAATTCCATACAAAACATCCAAAAGTCTTTTCAGCAAAAATTAATTCTAGCTAAAATAAAGTATTTTACAGTGTATGTTGATAAAAATGTTTTGTTTTTTGCACAGGACATGAATGAACCATCTAATTTTGTGTTTGGTTCCATTGATGGTTGTCCTGGTAACAATACTTATGAGAATCCACCCTATCTACCTTGTAAGTGTTCTTAATCTAACAATTCCTGCACTTGGAAAATTATAACACATTGACACCAACTAGTACTGTATGCTAGCCATAGTATGCATGGTATTTATTTCACCTGCAATGTGTTAAATGACAGTGGTCGCTGTGTCTGTCTGTGTGTGTGTGTGTTTGCATGTGCATGCATGTAAATGCATTTGAATTTTGCTTGAGTAAGCAACGTATTTAACCCAGATGCATTCAAAAGCATAGTACATTGTATATGGGACATTTATTATTGAACTGCAGCTATGAAGGTCTTTCTACAATTACAATGCCCAATATTGTACATTGAACTGTTTTTGATTTCCAGCTGTTGAAGGCGGTGCCTTGGCGTCTAATTCCATTTGTGTCAGTGCAAAACAGAACTGGTCGGTTCACTACAATGTACATAATTTATATGGATATTCTGAAACTATGGCAACACATAAGTAAGTCACTGCATCTCTTTATTTCATGATCTAATTATGCATAAGCCTAAAACCAAATGTTTTCTTCACTGTGTGAATAGTAGTTTATTAACTGTAGAGGGCGGTGTTCAGATAAATAAGACTGTGATATGAAAATTGGAATTTAATTTGATGAAGGAATGAATCTATGAAAATAAAATCCGGTACACCCTTTTTCCTATATTTTACATTCAACTTGTTACAAATCAGTGATAATAAACTTTATACAAAACAGACAAAAAGTTTTTTTCAGCGAAAGTTAATTCCAGCTAAAATAAAGTATTTGACAATGATCATTGCTAAGGAATTGATTGAAATATACATGTTTGAACTAAGAGGGCGCTGTCAATGCACAGTCCATGTTCCAATTTCATGTAAACGCATGTTTTTTACATGTATTGTGTAGTACATTTCTATCAATAATGATGTGGCATCACAATTCACGGATTAATAATCCTTGTTTTCGTGACATGCGACATTTACATAGGAAGTGTACACTTAAATAAAAACTTTTACTTTTTTTTTTGTATTTAAATTTTGTCACAAATGCTATTTGCTTTTCTACTTTCTGGATTCTGGAGAATAACAAAACATGGCCATAGAGGAAATGGTTTCGAGAAATTGAGTCTGTGGAACGATTTGTTTGACCATCTTAAAATGCCTAAAACATCCTAGTATTAGAAAATATTATGTAAATGGTAATTGATATGGTTTTATAATAAAAATCACACAGGTGTGATTCGAATCTTATAAACCATCAAAAGGCTATCATGACTTATACCATTACAAACTGTACACATGAAAACACAACATTTCGGCTAAACAACTAATTTTAAAGCATGCATGGCGAGATTCATTCACTCATGAATGCGACTTTGTGGGAACCTTGGTAAAGGTCCGCAGGTGCTTGTGTTCGACCAAACCTGGTTGACGCCAGGATAGCGCATTAAAATTGCCATTTGATAGAGAGATGGCCACATAGCCCTGTCATGTAGTCCCAAACATAAATATGACTTCTGTGGCAAAATGCATTATATGTCAGCACTAGCACTTGCAATTGCACTTACAAAAAAAAGGTAAGGAGAGACAACAGTGAGACTCAATGTACAAAACTGTCACGTGGCACAAAAACATTGAAAAAAAAAGCATGCAATTAATTTGCATAAATATAAATGGGTTCATCGAACACTTCGTCATAAGCTCATTTATAATTTAAAACCTTTCTATCTCTTGCATAGTTTGTTCAACCAAATCCACAATAAAATTATTTAAAAAGCATTTGCATAAAATGTTTAATGGGCAAGCTAAATACGTGCATTATTAATTGATATACAATTTCATAGATTTAATCATTTAAAGTGAGAACATGTATCATAATTTTATTAAGTTAAGTTTCAGCATGATAAACACTATAGTTCTATATGCATGCCCTTGCCCTTGGAGTGTACATGTGTAAGCAGCTACATCCATCAGCCGTGTGTGATATGTCAAAGTCAGTTTAAAAAAAATACTAGTGATGTAAATTTTCAATAATTCATGAGAAAAACCTTCATGGAGAAAAAAAACACATTTTAAATGTGTAATAGTGTACCTACTTTAAGCCATTGGAAAGCAAATTTAAAAGAAAATGAGTTGAATAAATATTAGAGTGGCAAATCGGAAAAAGAATTAGTTAATTTGGATGTGTATTAATTCAGGAGTGTTCTTCTCAGACATTTCGAGGAGCTGTATACTAAAAGTAATCTCAGTCTGCCTTCAATTATTCCTATGCAAGTACTCTCTGTAAAGGTGTATCGTTAACCTGATAACGTGTGATGAAGATCGTTTTGAGCATGCTATTCTCCATTTGTTGACATGGCAACAAGGGTGGGAAAATGTGAGGGGAAAAAAATTCTGTGAAGCTCTGTCGTGACATGAGCTGTCTGAATAACTCATTTCCTTGTCAGCAGCAGTGTTGATTTATAATTATTGTTATCTAGGATACAAAAGAGCCATTTTATGGATTACCCTTATATCAAATCATTGCTTGTAATATATCAGAATATATACATGTATGTAATTACAACAATTTATATTCTGTTTTTTTTATACTATTAAATCTTAAATATGTTGTGTTTAGGTTGTCATGGCAACTAACATGTTCTCCCAAAGTAGTGGTTTTACTTCATCCTGGGGGAGTTTGAAGAAATGTTCATGGGCAATTTTTTTTTTTTTTTTTAAAAGTATGTTTACTATGGAAATCAATGCAAAAACATACTCAAGAATAAAATGATTTTTTCAGCATCCAAATGACTTGTATCTATTTATAATGAAAAAGAGTTTTCAATTTGGTCGGAACCTCCTTAAAGTGGAATGTGAAACCTTTTCAAGGCATTTCTGGGAATATTACTCTGCCTGAGTGGTTTTCCCAATTTTGAAATTCACTCTGTGAAACTGAAGATTTCATTTACATTTACATTGTATATTAGGTAGCCTATACAGTTTGTACATGACTCACCATTTTCTAGAAAACACTCCTCTTCAGCTTCTTAGCCATAACATGGATAATATACAATCATTATCTTGAGAATTTATCAAAATAATCTTTAATTTGATGTTGTCAGTGCACTGATTCAAGTTAGAAGCAAAAGACCTTTTGTGTTATCAAGATCCACATTCCCTGGCAGTGGTCAGCATACAGCGCATTGGACTGGGGACATTACAAGTACTTGGGACCAGATGTACCATACAATACCTGGTAAGTTATGTGCCAGTACAATACCTGGTAACTTATTGTCCCATAACTATACTAGGTAAGTTATAAGTGAATGAT